CTGTGTGCTGGTCAGTTCACAGCAGTGATAGAAATTAATCTGTTCCAATAAGTTTAAATAGATTTTTACATTTTATGGGCATTTTTACTTTATAAAGCCTTTTTTTTTTCTAAAAGTGTGCATCATCTTTTGAGTTAAATTCTTACATTTAATCAGTCAATTACAATAATAAGACATTTGTGCTGTTACCAAACAAATGATATCAGTAACAAAACTAGTCTTTGTAATGCAGAGGAAACACAGAAGCTGCATCTGAAGAGGCATTTAGATGTATTTACACACTGTTTAATTCAGCTCAGAGGGACATGAATGCATTTAACCTGCAGTTACAAATGCATAAATAATATTTTGTTATTTTAAACATAAAACATTGAATACTGATATTTACAATTATTTTTAAAACGAAAATATATTTTAAATGTGAAATTTAAACCACCAATAGGTGGCAGCAAGTCACTGTTAATAAGTGAGTCATTGCGACTGAACCTAATCATTTAAACGGTTGATTCATTCAGGAACAAAACACCGTCATGTTGCTCAGAGACGCAAAACAGTGCTGTCACAAAACACAGTCGTGTTTGGGACAATTTTTTTGTTGGCGAAATAAAGCAAAAATAGGCAATATAGTGTCTAAAATGTAAGTCTCAATATTAATTTCTTGTTTATTGAACTGTTGCATAAATTCAGTATCACGTTTGTAATCATGGTAACTTTAGAGGTGAAAACTGGCACTTCTTCGTGTGATATTGACTAACTTTCTTTCTGTGGTATTTTTATGCACAATGGCGCTTAGTCTTTCACAAAACATAGCTAACGTAGGGGACATCATAACTAGCCACCATATTGATTTACGGTGTCATGAGAAATCGAGTCCCCCCTCGAAATCGGGTCCGCTTAGGACCCCGAGTGATCCCATTGGTTCAACAAACTTTTAATGGGTATTATTTTTAGTGCCTGATTACAATTCCTGCAAAATCGGGCTTTGATTTATGTCGTTTGAACTTCGTTATAATGACCAATAATGTCTTTTAAATTACATGTTTTATACACTAGTATCCGAAGCTATAGGTTGTGAAATCAAACATTTCTCGTTTTTATTGTTTTTTTGGGGTTATCTCACGTACTAGCATAGCATACAGCTACCCGATTAGCCTGCTAGGTCAGCTTATACACCACGCATTTGCACTTACCATGCATATATTCACAACGAAATAGTAACATAAGTGTTGACTTTTGATCAGGCATTTAAAACAGCTACCACCATGGTTCTAAGCGGACCCGATTTCGAGGGGGGACTCGATTTCTCATGACAACGGTCTTAACTATGTCCAGCGCTTTTTTTTTTTTTACAGTCTATGGTCCAGCGTTTATCGGGTTGTGCGTCAGTAATAATGGTCCGTGGGGAAACACGGTGTTCCATGTAATTTCCATGCAAATTATTTGCCTCGATGATTTTTGTATTCGAGTTACTCAAGGTATTCGAGGAATCGTTTCAGCCCTACTCTTAACTTCAACAATTTAAATGTGATGGATAAGAATCATTTTGGAATCGCTGATTTATGATGAATGTATAAAATCTTGTTTTGATTCTGCATGTTTACATATGCACTTCCGACATAAAAGACTTTATTACTATCGCTGAAGCATTTCTATCATAAAACAGAGACTGGATAGTCACACTAAACCCACAGACCTTTCAAAACATGTATAATTTGTCAACATTCATAACATTTGTGAGCAGTTGTCTATAAAGTGAATGTAAACAAAGGTAAAGTGACATATGGCCCAAGGGCATGGATCAACAGGTTAAAATATTCTTCACAAAAAGATTCTTTAATTAACTGTTCACAGAAAGATTCTCTGGAAATCCCAAAATGGTTCTTCTACTGCACTGTTATGAAAACCCACTTTATTTTTAATACCGTGTCTACACCGGGTGGGACTGCTGTCGCTTGAGGCTATCTACACTGTACGCGTACAGTGTAGATAGCCTCAAGCGACAGCAGTCCCACCCAGTGTAGACAGTGAACAAAGTGACAGTTGCAAAGCGAACATTTTGTCCCTTATGCCAAAGGTAGTGCAAGAGTTTGCAATGCGTCATAAATAGAATTGGGCATTCGTTTACTACTGGGGACCCGTCACATCCAGCGACAGAAACACATAACTGTTTATGTTGGCTTTTGTCGCATCGTACCGCTCACAGCCGGTGTAGACATGGTGTAAGAGTGTGTGTCATCATTCATCTAGTCTAGTCAATGGGACCAGGGACCAGTTATGACAGATATTCAGAGATCCCTGGCTGAGCAGCAGTTCCGCCACAGTTGAAAAGAGGCATCCGACTATCACTCTCACCCTAATACTGACCTAAAACTGAAGCTCAGGCAGATCTCCACCACTTCAGCACTCTTTGTTTCTAGAGCCACCATGAAACCCTGTCCACAGTTGTATCCTTTGCTTAATCTTCATCTTTCACTCCCTGTCTCTCTCTTTTTCTCACCTCAGATCCGCTGTCTGCCATCCGTCCCTCTCTCGTTCTCTCCATATGTTCTCCATCTCACCCTACACTGATTACACTCACATACGGCCTTATCTGCTACTTGTCCACATTTGCCAACACATCAGTGAGCTGATCAAGAGCACAAGCTCTCTTATGAACGTATGCTTGGCACGTAGGCAGATCTGAGTTCATTAAAGCTCTAAATGTGTATACCCCACTGTAATCATTCTCCCAGATGAATGACAAATAAGCCTTTACTGATATAATGAGTGCCTTCGTTAACCCCTAATGAGCTAATATGGCTGCACACACAAGCCACCGGCGCGGCGAAACTGCGGAATTTATGACACACATACGCAAACAAACAGAAATAATTTGGTATTTTTATCTTCTTCTCTGTGTTTAGGTTGTTAGATGATAGCAGATCTCCCCTGAGTAAGAAAATGTTACAGCAATAAAACTTTTTTTATTAGAAACACTAAATCCTGCCGGAGAGACACGAAGGAGTCTCTTCATCTCTTTCTGTCTAAAATAAACATATTATCACCCCTTTTTCATTCCCCTCTCTCTATGTGTAGCCCTACTGGGAGATGAGAGAAGATGTGCCAGAGGTTCAGCTTGTGATATGAAAGAATGATGTAGAAACTGAAGTGGTGTTCTGCCTGCGCATTCGCAATACCCTTCCCTCTCCTCTCAACCTGTGGTGAAGGTGTGTGTAGGTTACCTATGGCCATGAAGTCCTCCGGCTCCCACGGCTGAAGCTGGGAGAGGGGTCCGCTGTAGAGCAGCAAGCCATCTGCCACCTCTGTGATGAACTCCAGCGAGAGGTGGCTCTCGAAGCATGGCCTTATAGGGGGAAACCAAGCATAGCCATTGCCATGGAAACTGTGTTTTGTCTGCTGGCACTCGGGTCCCTCAAACTGAGCCGGGCACTGGCATCTATGGTATGCACAAAGGAAATCAAAAGCTCTTATTAAAAACAGTATGAGTTTCGGGTTTTGTACACGTGCTACTGGACTGACCTGGACCCAAAAGAAAAGAAAAAAAAAACAGACAAAGAGAAAGACAAAAATGTTTGTGGTAGTCAGACATTGTGGTATTACACAGCCCTAAATAAGCCTGAACCAGGAACATTTTATTTAAAAATTTAGGTTATTTGATATTATTATGAACTTAGGCAAGGCAAGTTTATTTATACTGTAGCACATTTTAGACACAGTGGTAATTCAAAGAGATTTTACATAGACAAGATAATAGACAGATAGATCAGGGATGTTCATCTCCATAACTGAGGCCGATGTGATACACATCTCGATGCATATCCAACAATACGATGCATTAAAGATAAATATGAAATAGTTACCGGTGCAATGCGATACGATTCACCCCATTACGATGCAGTGTGATCTGATTTTCATTAGATTCAACACAATGCGATTCAACGCAAAACGGTGCAATGGAAAAAAAAATATATATGATGCTATACATAATATAGTACAGATAGTTTTTTTTTTCTTCTTTGGTTCAGACAGAGAGCCATGTTAATCTATATTCTATGTGACTCTCAGGACGCGCCTCAGTCTCCATAGTTTTGTGATACGTCATATTCACGTAGCAGCAGTGATGAGAGAACGCACTTGAGAAACAGTTTAGAGAGGAGAAATCAATCTACATATAACATATTGGTCACAAATTATTGGTCACTTTCTAAATAATAAAAGTATAGCACATCCACTAATAATTATATAAAAATAAAACGTTTTTTTTTTTTTAACCAATGCAAATATGTTAGAAGCAATGCATCATGATACAATTGCCAACTTGTACCTGATGCACACTTTTTTAAATCAATGCATCGTTAACTTTTATGCAGATGCACCAATGCGAATCTGTGAATCTTACCATCCCTAAGACACTGTAGACAGACAGACAGACAGACAGACAGACAGAGATAGATAGATGTTGCTTAATTTAAGTAATTGCCACTGACATATTTATAATCCCAATTCAGAAAAGGAAGTAGGACCTTTTCCCTATATGGCACATAAATTTTGGAATAGTGTTCCGTGCAGAATGCTTTCTTAAATGGATAGTTCTTTACTTTTCAGTCATCATTTACTCACCCTCACGTTGTTCCAAATCTGTACGACTTACTTGCTTCTGTAAAACACAAATGAACGTCAGTGGGGTTCCAAACAACATTTGACGCCACTAACTTTCATATGACTTTTCACAGAATAAAGCATACAAGTTTTGAATGACACGCGGGTGAGTAAATGATGACAGTTTTCATTTCTGGGTGAACTATCCTATTAAGTCTAGACTAAAGACCCAGGTAAGCCAAACATACAAACTTGATTTTTCTCAAAGCTTTGTATCCCACTCCCACCTCATCTCAGTTACTGAGTGATGCAACCTGTCAATGGTGCTTCACTGACAATGGTGTCAAAGTGCTTCACTGACCACTGCCTGCATCCCCTTCAGTCATTTTAGGATGCACTTCAAAGACTATAGATCCATCATCATCATAATTTAATCATTATCCTTACAACAATTTTCTATGAGCATATTAAACTACTTAACTTATAACAAATGACAAGTACTACACAAATCTTCAGTTCACCCAAAAATGAAAATTCTGACATTAATTATTCACCCTCATGTCGTTCCATTTTAACTTTTCGCGCATGCGTCATGGTACTTTCAATAATGGGGGAGGTCGGTGACGTGGAAGATAAGAATGGTTGAATAAAGTCGTTATTTTTGTTATCTTTGCACACAAAAATTATTCTCGTAGCTTCGTAAAATTATAGTTGAACCACTGATGTCACATGGACAATTTTATTGGTGTCCTTACTACGCTTCTGGGTCTGAGAACATTTCAGTTACATTGCTCTCTATGGAAGGTCAGAAAGCTCTCTGATTTCATCAAAAATATTTAAATTTGTGTTCCCAAGATGAATGACAGTCTTACGGGCTTGGAACAACATAAGGGTGGGTAATTAATGACAGAATTTTAATTTTTAGGTGAACTATCCCTTTAATTAAAGTGCACATATTATGCTTTTTAACATTTTATCCTTCCTTTAGTGTGAGATATAGCTGATAAATTATTTATAAGGTGCCTTGAAATGCTTGTTTGTAGTCCCGCTATTGTGACTCCGCTAAGTTAATGTTATACATTTGCATAAAACCCGCCCACTGGCTGCTTAGGCCCAACCTCAAAGAACATTTGGGTAAGTGATTTTGCTATATCACTGTTAACAGACTGTTTTTTTGCTTCAAGGCCATAAACCATTATATGTACTTCCAATACCTACACCATAGTTACCACAGATATTATCCATATGGTAAGGGGCACTGCCTTTCCGACAGATGCTCTAAGTGGTTTACCACTTCATTAAGGGAACCTCCCAAACATCATCCTCTATAAAACAGAAACCACACTAGACCATACAATACAAGCTGATGTTGTGCATCTCTTTGCCATCAAAAATTTCCATATGAAAGGTATGCTTCATATGCATACGTATTGGCATGACTCAAACAGTAATCAACAGCTCTCTTGTTCTGCTTTCTGACAGATCAGCCCCACCTGTTGCGCAGACTCTCGATTCAGCCCACAAACAGCATCATTCGCTCAGAAACATCAATGACAAATTGCTTTCTCTTGGTTTGCCACCCAAGCACTGCTGTGCCCTCAGATCCCCTGCCTCAGTGCCTCTTTGGCAATTCTAATCATAGTCTTTGAAAAATGCATGAATCTATCGCCGTCTATCCTCCATGTGTCTGTCTTCTTGCTCTTTGTTTCTTTCTCTCTCCTCACTGTCTCCCTTGTAGCTGCAGTTCTAATTGCCAGATTGAAAGGAAAATGACATGGGATGACAGCCTCTGTGCACTTATGACAGTTGAGACAATGCAAGATAGTTAGGCAGGTCAATGCACCCAATAAAGCAATCAAACGCACCATGAGTGCTCTAATTGCATTGTGCGCTAATCAAAACTATTCCCATGTTTACTAAAACAACATGCCATAGCAGAAGACAGGCAAGGATATGTTTATAGGACTGACCGTCAAACTAACTACATCATCTCCTGATTATCACTGGCATGTCTCGTCTAGCAATTCCAGCAGCAAACAATTTGTCTGTCCACACTGAACATGAAACTGCTGCTAGATAGGACACAATTACAAATAATTAGATAATATTTGATGTTTAACACAGAGCTATGAGGATATCTGATCAGTTGTATCTCACAGTGGGCGGAGCTACCTACCATGACACTACAGGAATATAAACCAAAAGCAAAGAAGCATCACTACTCAAGTCATCAAATTGTTCTACCTAGTGTATGTCACACCAGTGTTTACACTCATTTTGTTTATTAGGGGCCAAGCACCGAAGGTGCGAAGGCACCAATTGTATCCATTGGCGTTCTTCTTCTTCTTCTTAGCCTATGGCAGCCCATAGAACCACTTGCGGGAAAGTTGTGAAATTTGGCACACTGCTAGAGGATAGTCTGTACTGTCGCCATAGCAAATTTGGAGTCTCTAAGTCAATCCCTCTAGCGCCACCAACTGTCCAAAGCTTCACTCATGTTTATGCTAATAACTTTTGAACCATAAGGGCTAGAAACAAAATTATTTTTCCTCTGATTCCTTGGCTCAGGCCGATTCGAAACAACATTTTTTTTCCGCCATTTTGAATTTTCTGAAAAACCTACTTTTTCGAACTCCTCCTAGTCCATTGCTTCGATTTTCACAAAAATTGAACCAGATCATCTTCAGACCATACCGACAAAAAGTTATGGAATTCAAGTCGATTCGTCAAACCGTTCTCAAATAACGTGCAAATGAATTCTATGAAAAACATGCAAAAATGGATGTGAGGCTATATCACAACGGTTTGGTGTATTGAGACCAAACTTGGTGCGTGTTATAACAAGCATGACCAGAGGCTACCTGCGTTTCCACACAGTGCCACCTAGTGGTCTGAAGATATGAAAAATTTTTTTTTTTCCTTATAATTTCTGAATGGTTTCATCAAAAATCACAAAACTGGTCTCTTTAAATTCGGTGCAGCATGCCGAGTCGAACCATACCAATTTTTCCCATGTCAGCAATTTTTAATTTTGTCATAAAATGCTATATTTTACGAACGCATTGGCATATCGTTCGTATATATGCCTTTGGCACCATGTCCTGACGGCACTCAAAAAGTTTGGGGGCAGCGCCACCTTGTGGCCAAAAGTTATAAAGAAATTTCAAAAAAATTATAATAACATTTGATTAAATTTACCTATTGTAATGAAACTGGTCTCAATATATTCTTTGGGTCATGCCGAGAACATAGATACCGATGTTTCCATAGTTAGCCGAACTTCCTGTCCGCTATTTTATGTTGAAAACCTACTTTTTCAAACTCCTCCTAGACTGTTGGTCCAATTTTCACCAAATTTCACTCAGATCATCTTCAGACCATGCTGGCAAAAATATATGGATTTCGTGTCGATATATGAAATTGTTATTGTTTAACGCATTAACGAATTTGCTGGAATGATGCCAAACTGCGTCTGAGACTGTATCTCTGAAAAGCTTTGACATATTGACACCAAACTTTGTATGTGCCATTATCACCTCACACTGACCATGCCACATCAATTTGGTAACAGCGCCACCTATTGGTCAAAAGTGTTAAACCAATCATTAACCATTAATAATTACATTTTAAAAAATGCTTATAATTTTTCATTACATTAGCCTATTGTAATCAAACTTTATTTTGCCATGGTCAGCCGAACTTCCTGTCCGGCATTTTAATTTATGTTGAAAACCTACTTTTTCGAACTCCTAGACCGTTGGTCCGATTTTCACCAAATTTGACTCAAGTCAAGTCAAGTCAAGTTTATTTGTACGGCGCTTTTCACGATACAAATCA